AGAGACAGATCCGAGTATTTCCTTCAAGAAGTGCCAAAAAAAGATTCCCATTTCTTTTGGCTTACGGTATGGCCTTCGACAAAGCTCAGGAACAAACGTTTTACATTGCTGGTCTCTTGCGCCGGAGCCCGTTTTCTCTCACGGTCAGCTATATATTCTGTTCTCTCGAGTCAGGTCTGCCGATTGCCTCAAAATCCTAGTGGTTGAGTGGCAAAGGCAACGCCTTCCTGATAATGGCGTCTCAACCAATAATGTCGTTTACAAAGAAAGAGCTGTAATTTCAAATTCCAATTCCCTTCATGAATCTGTTTTGCTACCAAATTTTGTGTTTTTGATTTCGATTTTCAGAATTGTAATTGCAATCCGTTCTTCTACTAATTTTGCAAATATTTCTGATTTTGTGATAATTTTTATTATATTGATTTCTGAAGTAAGTTATTTTCCCTCTTTTGTCGCTTTTCGAATTTGAAATTATCTTTTCCATTCATGATTCCTTCAATCGTGGTTTATTTGTGGGGTGTGGTCTCGATGATGAAATTAGCTGCGTGGTAAGATTTTCGATCTTCTCGAGGATTGCTTAAGGATTTATAATATTTGGTTTAAACCGAACTGCTTCATATATTTGTGTAAACATTTTCAAGTTTCCCCTGTGGAATGTACCATATATCAATATTTTAGCGTTGCACTTAAAGCTCCCCTCCTAGTTCCAAGACAATTGGGTCCTCTATCAGACTGGAATGCCGAGAGTGTCCCATATCATGTGAGTTTTGACGCTGCGCGATTCGAAGCCGCGTGACTGGATTATACGAGTTCGTCCTCAAGGGATCCCCATTCATTTTATCATTTGCATCTAATCTCCGCCCCCATCCGAGTCGCAAAAAAACGTTCGTGTCTACCTCTGAATCCTAGAATAATATTTAGAATCGAGGCTGCCCCCCACCTAAATCTGCCCTGAAAAGGAAGGAGCTTTGGAGTTGATGCTCTCAATGTCATCCAAACCGATCTCGGTCCTATTCCAACATCAGCCACAGTGATTTGAACATGTTGATCTCACTTGCGATGATTACTAGCTTTTATTTCAAGTAATTTGAAGTGTGCATACTTCAGAGTAACACTCGAGGTTGGCTGGGATTGAAACAAGAATACCCGGGCGTGACACATGATGCGTTAATGCATACGAAGACTGAATCAGAGACTTATGAGCTGATTCTGTTTTTTCATGATCATCGTCGGAAATATGTGCTATTTTGGGACTATTTTTTATGCTATTTTTAGGCAGAGACGGTGGGAATGTGGTATTCTCTCCCATCCATTCATATATTGAAGGCAAATTAGATTTCCCAGGTGATTTGGAATAGCTTCCTGGAGAGGTCTCCATGGAGCTTGGCTTTATTCTTCGAACAAGTCCTCAATATTTCCCACACCCTCATGTTCCAAAAAGAATTCCGACGTTGTATTTTGCCATTTCAACCCTTCTCTCTACCAAGTTTGCGGTTCCCCGCAGTCCATAGACTGCAAGATTTCCTTTAGTTCCCTTCCGGACCAGGATCGCAGAGGCCTTTATCCGCTCAGCCAGGCGTATTCCATCCTTTCTCGTCTCTGGTCTAAGTTTCTGGGAAACCAATGGGAGATCTTCCTCCTTGTCTGCAACATCGTTGACGCTAACGGCTGAGGCAGCCGTGTCTCCCAAGCACTGGCGATTCTCTACCTCTGTCTTCCCGCTTTGTAGCCACACCTGAGTAGAGAGAATCACGTTTTTCTAATTAGGATTCTTCCCTCTTCATTAGGGACATCGAATCACTTGCACTTTTTAAATAAAATTTATTAGAGAACTGGGAAACGTATTTTACCTGCTTTATTTTATTCAACTTATTTTACCTGGTCAGCAGGTCTTCTGACCCAGAGAAAAACAAAATTGTATTCCCTGCCTGTATCCAGTATGCCAATTAACGTGCTATGGATTGCCATGGGTATCCGTGTTAGTAGTTCATCTTGCATTCGTAGATTTTAGCAATTACATGGACTTTCATTGAGTGAGCTCTACTACACACCAACCAGTCATCGTGATGAGCCTGTCGAAAAGCTGACTACCGAAACAGGCAATGAGATGTTCGAGAATTATATGGTGACCGTAAGGATACATACATTTTGTCTCATATAAAAAATAATCAGGATGGTTGGAGTAGAGGACAACCTCAGACCAAGGCAACCGAGACAAATAGGCGATTCCGATTGAGCGGATTTAATTTATTCCGACGGAGCAGTGATAAAAGCACCCTAATTTTAGACCCCTGGGAAATTTGGCTCTATGATCCTTGTGAATATGATTTAAAAACATAAATGTTTATTCATGTTTTTTGCCTGACCTGAACCTCCGCAAAAACGCCATCACGCCTTCAATCAACTTCCTCAAATTTATCAAGAGAATGTTGGCTTTCAATGCAGTCACAAGAAGCACAACATGAGACAGCGAATCAAAGAGGCAATTATACTGTTATATTTTGACAACAATTTGTTGCACTCAGCAATTTGTTGCCTTGAAATCTCAAGGTGAGAGAGTAGGTTTGACAGATGGATGGTTAATCAACACACTATTCGAGAATGTAAAAGCTTGTTTTGAGGACTTCTGCAAAATGGGTTAGGACTTCAGGATAATGTATTTAACTCTGTCCAAATGAGATATTTTCTCATAAAAATAGACTCATCAGGAAGATCTCGTGCAGTAACTAGTTTCAGACAAACCTGGTAAACCTGTGGGAAGGAAATTCGATTTTAAATTATGCATTATACATGCAGCCATGCACAAACACAGAAGCTTACATTTCACATTCCTTAGTGGCAAAAAATCACGAAAATGCATGAAATATGTATTTAAGATGGAAATACCACTGACTAAGAAGCTCCTGGCGAAAATTCACCTCCACGGGCAGATGAGTACCTTTTTTTTTAATCTCCACAAAGCTCGTGCGGGATCTTCCTTGAATAGTTCCAACACTTAGTGAGGATGAATCGCAACTATGGCGATTCACTCGCATAACTTGTCTCTCTCTCGGAAACCTTATTCATTCGAGTATGTGTCACATGGCGACGCAACAGTTTAAGTATTTCATAATGTACAGTATTTACCAGTAACTCTGTACCAATGGCCACGAGTTCATGGAAATTTTTATTTTCTTAGTCGCTGTATATTCAATGGATCCATGCCATCAGAAGAAGTTGATCATAAATTTTTCTCCCCTCGCAATATTGAATTTTTCGCACAAATAAGGAAAATGATGCCAGATATTAGAAGGGCGAATCCTTGGATGCTAATGAATCAGTGTAGGGAATTTCAGCGCTTTGTATTCAGCAATTTGGATGATTAAGTGTTGACACATTTACGACGAATAGCATTTTTTGGTAACAAATGCTGTCTTTCGCAGATGACATATGTTGAACCTTTGTTCGGTAAGCCTTGGGCTTACCACACTCCGTCTTAAGAAGCATATGCACATTAAATTTTCCTAGACTTTTCCTTTAGGCGCAAATATATATCCTCTAGAAAAAATAACTTATTTACTCTGGGTAGACCACCCTGCAGATTCAAGAAAATATCTTTATTTTAGCTGAAACGTGAAGGATATGCGAATGATGATTCCCGATGTAATAGTTCAAATATTTCCTTTAATATTTCAGACAAACAATCACGATTGGTTTGCTGGGTTCGGTGCCTGTAGAGAAGAGTTAGGGGGTAGCATACACGGAAGTTATAAACGCGAATAATAATGCGCGAAGCATTGACGTTATTTAGCTTAGTTTTCTTAAAACGCGATTATTTCTTCAAATTGTTATAAAATCGAGGGAAAGATTCCCCAGTAACCCCTATAATACAGTATGCTGATGAAACGTTTCCATAATGTTGCCTATGTTGCTCTATGTTGCAAGTTGATGTATAACATTGATAAAACATTGCTTAAACGTTTCCTCTTGCAATGTTGCTGCGACACTTCAACGAATGTTATTGCAACATTAGCTATCAACATTAAGAGAATGTTGTAACTCTTGACATCGACAACGTAGCGACGAAATTCCGATGCAACACGGACTAAAAAGTTTTATGGAATCGAAAAGTTGTCCTCCTTGTCTCGAGATGGAGGCGTAGGTCTCGCTTTTCTCACAGTACACAAAAGTGTCCTTCCCTCTTTCCCTGGAATTGCATTCACAGGAATGTTTAACCTTACCATACGTCCTCACCTTGCCATACGTCTCGCATTCATTCATTATAGGAATCAATGAACACGGACACTTCATCACTCGTTATTCTCATATTCGAGACAAATTCATGGGGTCATGCTAAGAAATGCTCGTGCTCCCAAAGAATAAGCCCTTCCAAGAACTCGTCGATTTTATTGTCCTGTAGGGTATCCTACAGGACAATAAAAACGATGGTAGAGTCTATGATCTCAATACCTCATAATCTCATCCCGATGAAGAAAAGAAGAACTGAAGTCGCGGACACTCCATAGAACATTGCGGTTGGACCTTTTCCTGTAATGTGCCAAATTTAGCACATCCAGGGAAGATCACCTCCAATAATACCCTATGTCTCCTGCCTGTATATGATACATATAATTTATTCTGCATGTGTAGGGGTTATACCAGTACAGACTTCGTTTTGTTGATGGGACTGTCTGGGTAAAGAAGTAAAATATACGGTATCAAATGATGAATGAAAAAAAAACAATATTGGTCGAATATCGGTCCAGTTCAGGGCCAATGAAGCCTATGCTTTTCCGTGATGCCAAAATAGGCCCAGATTAAGCGCCTGTGAAGCAACGTTTTTAATCAACATTGCAGCAACATAAATCCCGAAACATTTTTGCTACTTATATGTAATGAATAAGTAACGAATTGCAACGTCAATGCAATGTTCCTTCGCAACATTTGAACAACGTTGACGTTTTGGACATTTACACATGAATGCAACATCGTTCAGCAACATTTCCTAAACGTTGCTGGAATATCTTGTGTTACTTGGGAAATTCCTTGATTCGATGGTACCCCCAAAACGGACATGCTGTAATGTGAAAACAAATTTTTTTATGGCTTTCCATTTATTCAACCCCTCCCATGTCCCTCTACGGGACTCAATAACGTTAGACCTAGGCGTAAGCAACAGGACTGCCTTCAGATTATGCCAAGGCCTACCTTTTTCTTTTCAAAAGAAACTCAGTTCCTGACTTACGACGGCAATTAGGCCTGTAAGGGCGAATCGTGATCTTCGAGATTTATGGTAGAGGATGTGTAATGTTAGGCTAATCCCAGGCATATTCTTGCTATCACAAACCATTTCAGAGAGAACGTATAACGTTAGACCGATTGGAGGCCTGTTTCCTGAACCAAATTCGTGGAACGAGGAACGTTAGGCCTATTTGGAGTTCCTCGAACCATCTCGAATAGGTCTCAGGAGAGAATGCCTTCAAGAAGCATGCAATCCATGCTACGCACTATAACGAGAATTCAGGGATGTCCGGATAAGATACCTGCATATCCCACCACTTCGATCAATAACTGCTAACCACCTCTTCACTCTCATCTCAACTCATGAACTCAGAACAAAAATGTATCATACAATAAAAACAAGATCTAGACGCAAATACGAAGGTTAAAACATTCTTGAATCTCGGAAAATTTCGGCACGGTGTCAGGCAACACCAGGGGACTGTAACAGAGCAAACACTCCTCAAAGCCTAATTGAATGACATCTAATTTCATTTTCTTCGTTGCTTTGAAACAAATATTTGGAGGCCCAATGAACCCATTGGGCGAATGTGGTCATTATATTGTCCTACTTGTATGTAACGAGAGCAATCAATACCTGAGTAATTTGTGATGAGCGTCCATTTGCAGACGTCGATATCGAAGGCTGGAGTCCACATGACTCGGCAATGGATGTTTCGTCATATGAATCCTTGGGACAGCCTGATGTACGTGCCAGTGAATGTGCGTCCTTCCTCCCGCCCAACTGTAGCTTCATCTTTTCTATCTGTAATAATGCATCAGCCTCACACTGTAAAGCCTTCATTTCTTGATGTTGAAAAACACACATCATTATTAAAATTTCACCACAACCCATCCAAGCTGTTGGCATTTTTTTCCCAAGAGATACTTCTTTGATCTCAGTTGATATTAACACTTTTTAAAAGCGTTCTTTGAATATCACAATCATGATTCAAAGTACTTGGTTCTAATGGAAGAAAAATCTAAAATAGTAAAATGAAATATCCATGATAACTTGTTCCTTCTTTCCAAGGAACATTGCTACCAAGTCTTACTCAGAGGAAAATAATACCATGGATGTCCATTAACCCCATCTCTATGAGCTCATTTTCATGTTGCAGTTCTAATCATGATCATGAAATTTCTTGGATATTTGTTTGGCAATGAAGGGAAACTTTCTTCTTTCATGACCAATTTCTGAGGTCTCTCTCATATCTTCGATGATGATTGGCATGAATGATGTTGATTACCACGCATCGGACTCAGGTGAATCATAATTATTCTTCATCATATCTGTCTTACTAGGAATTTCATTGATGCCCATGCATGGGCACCAGGCACTTCAATAATCCAACTTTGGCATTCATACTCTTCCGTTCCCTTAAATTCCCCTGGTTTCTGGGAGGCTTTCTCTCAGCAAGAGTTTTTGCATTGCTATCACCGTTACAACCTTTGTCTGGGATTTTTTATTTCTGCCACGCTCTCTCATTCAGAAATCTTTTTTGAAAAATGACACTTCCTATTTAGCGTGTGTTGCGATAGGTAAAATTTATCTTGTACCACCATGGCTACCATTGGAGATCTCTAAAGATCCGGAGTTAGCATATAATATATTTGACATATGGAGCCCCATTTCAAGAGTTTATTAGCAGTCATTCTGCAATTGATAGACCAATGATGTGCTGCAGTAATGTCCTGAAGAGGCAGAGTGTACACCAGTAACAGACATTATCCCAATACAGTCCTGAATTCGATCTTTTCGCAGAGAACATAAGGGGGAATGTCGGGCATATGGTAGGGGCATATCGTAAAGCACATCTTAGAGGTCTTAGATCCATTCATGCAAAACAATGGCTCAATAAAGTGAGAGAGGCTGCATTTTGTCACCACGGTCAATGAAATGCTGCAAGAAGCTCAAACAGAAACAGGAACGTGACCCTTGCTATGTACTGTCATTGGTGTACTTGGTCCATAGTTTTAGTTCTTTTTAAAGGCAACTACCATGAAAAATAGAGTCCTTTTCCAGTATGACAATAGAATGACAAATCTGTCATTCTATTGGCTAGTAAACCTCTGGAATTAGCACCCTTTTCTTCATCCTAACCACCCATTTTTCGAAGAACAAAAACTGTCACTTGTACGTCGTAAGCCTTCTTGAGTAGTCTCGGACAACTGAATGACTATTGTATATGTCCTCAATGGATCGCGCATCAGCATTGTGTGGAGATGAGAGCTTAGTGCCATTTGAAGGATGCACCATTGTTCATGCTGGAACATGAAGCCACTGCCTCCAAATGCTGCTATAACTCCGTCAACCATGAGAGGTGGAAGAAAGCTGGAAAACTTAGTTTTCATTGGCACCCCTCCCTAGGCTTAATGCTGCACCATGATCACTGAGTCGAGATGTCTGGTCCCAATGGAGACTGTTGATGGACGAAATGAAGAAGATAAAAAGTGACCGAACGATGACAACAGTTATTTTAACGTTGTACCCTTTGGAACAGCAGTTTATTTGACTATGGAAAAAAATGCTACTAAGGTTGACATCAGACTTTTTAGAAAAACATCAATGGATTATAACAATAAAAAACCCTGAGGGAAAATTTGCGCAAGGGACAGAGACACATTTCATGGCAAAAAAAAGGATCGAGAATGTGACCTGTGCTTTGGTATCCACGAGAGCTGCCTCAAGCTCAAGATTCCTTTGCTGTGCCTCTACGAGCAAAGAATGCTTCATCATAAGTTTTTCCTCAAGTTCTTTACTTCGATCCTCATGCCTACCGTACCGTTCGGCTAACCGTCTTGTCTTCTCCTTTTCAGCCAATGTCTGAGTCTGCTGCTTGTAGATCTCTTCTACCTGTGAAAAAAGTCAGCACCTCACATACGGTTCAGGACGAACATAAAATGCGAATGAGACAATGGTGTGGATACAATTCCTGAGCCGAAGGAAAAACATGCCGCTCCTTTGAGAGTTTTTGTTGATGACCCGATGAACAAACTGGCTAGTCTAATATATATAGACGATCGTGACTGACTTACTGACGCTAATTCTAACGATGTTCTAGAAGGGTTCAAAATATGAAACTTTGTACAAATGTACCTTTTGGGATGCAGAGTTCAGAAAAAATCCAACTTTGGTGGTACATACCCTGTGGGTACATATTTTGGGGGGAAACGTTTTTCTTAAAAATATATTGTTTCAGATGAGGATGCATTCAGAGAATCATGTGAACGTGTAGGGTTCAGTGGTGTAACAGTAGTATCTCTAACTGGCAATTAGAAGGCCCGGATTCAATTCCTGGCCATCCATTGGCTTTCTTTTGGCTTTCTTTGCCTTCCATGTCCCGTTACTCATTCCCCCTCCACAACATTATTTTTGCTTGAGTAAAACGGAGAGACATGGGAAGCTGAAAAAAGGCATGGACGTGCCTACGGAGACGATGAGTTTAGGAAAAATGCAAAATTTTAGATACTTGCGCTGGGAGCATATTTTTCTATGACTGACTTTTTCAAGTATTTTTTTTTCCTAGCGTATTAAGCTAGTGTGGAAAGATGAAACTTCGTACATAATTACCTATTGGGATGCTGCAGAAAACTTCAGACTTTAGAAGTAAATGTCCTGGGGGCACAAGTTTCAAAGGGAGATGTTTCAAATAATTTTTTTTGCATCAGTTAAACTGATGAACATGGAAATCTGAAATTTTGCATGAATGTGACTACTGAGACAAGGAGTTAAATAAAAATGTAAAAGTTTCGATGCATCGCCTCGGTAATTTTATCGAGGGGCGATGTTTTGAGAAAGAAATTTTCTTGGCGAATAGGACAGAAATGGAATGATGAAACTTGACATACTTGTAAGTGACATGATATTACTGAGCTGAGGGAGTATTTAGCTTTCATGGGGCATCCCCTCTGGGCATAGCTTTTGGGTGTGTCGGCTTTTCCAAGCATGTTTCCAGCGAAAAGGGCAAACGTATAATACTGAAACTTTGTGGGCATGTAGTTCACCGGGCAGACGTAGAAAAGTAGCTATCGCACGCATCACTGACGCTGCGTTGATTTAAGGAAAAATTAAACTTTTATAAACGTCTCCTCAGAGCACAACTTTTGGGTAGGTCACTTTTCCAAATACATTTTTTTCGCTACAAAAAGGGGAAACGTTTAAGGCTGAAACTGGGTGGCATGGAGTTCCCTGAGTCTACATTTCAAAAGAAAAAAAAAATTGTTAAAACCCATTAGGCAATTTTTTCAGTCCCATTTTCATGATTTTTTTTTGATCCAACGAAACAGAGACAGAAAATGTAAACTTCCCTCAAATGTACCTCTTTGATGGCTGAGTAGAGAGAAAATCCTAATTTTGAAATATGTCTCCTTAGCGTAGATTATTGGAGGGAAGTATTTCAAAATGTGTTCTCCAACCGTACAAGAAGAGACTTAAAAAGCTTTCAAGTTAGCCACACTGGAAATAAAAGTAGTAATGATTTTGATAAAAATGAAGACTTTCGACCCCATATGTCACGCATTTCAATGGGGACGTACTTTAAATACGTGTTTCCCATTTCGCAAAAAAATAATGAATTAATCAATATCTTAGGTAATAGAGCGGCGAAGGCGCGACCAAAGCGAGTTTGTTTGCCCGAAGTGCAAACAAACTCGATAGTTAAATATAAGGATGTAGGTATCCTCACCTTGCCGACCAGAGTTGAACTCATTCAGACGTAGGCAAGGAGACANGTCATTCTATTGGCTAGTAAACCTCTGGAATTAGCACCCTTTTCTTCATCCTAACCACCCATTTTTCGAAGAACAAAAACTGTCACTTGTACGTCGTAAGCCTTCTTGAGTAGTCTCGGACAACTGAATGACTATTGTATATGTCCTCAATGGATCGCGCATCAGCATTGTGTGGAGATGAGAGCTTAGTGCCATTTGAAGGATGCACCATTGTTCATGCTGGAACATGAAGCCACTGCCTCCAAAGGCTGCTATAGATATAACTCCGTCAACCATGAGAGGTGGAAGAGAGCTGGAAAACTTAGTTTTTCATTGGCACCCCTCCCTAGGCTTAATGCTGCACCATGATCACTGAGTTGAGATGTCTGGTCCCAATGGAGACTGTTGATGGACGAAATGAAGAAGATAAAAAGTGACCGAACGATGACAATAGTTATTTTAACGTTGTACCCTTTGGAACAGCAGTTTATTTGACTATTGAAAAAATGCTACTACGGTTGACATCAGACTTTTTAGAAAAACGTCAATGGATTATAACAATAAAAAACCCTGAAGGAAAATTTCCGCAAGGGTTGAGAACAGAGACACATTTCATGGCAAAAAATAGGATCGAGAATGTGACCTGTGCTTTGGTATCCACGAGAGCTGCCTCAAGCTCAAGATTCCTTTGTTGTGCCTCTACGAGCAAAGAATGCTTCATCATAAGTTCTTCCTCAAGTTCTTTACTTCGATCCTCATGCCTACCGTACCGTTCGGCTAACCGTCTTGTCTTCTCCTTTCCAACCAATGTCTGCAACTGCTGCTTGTTCATCTCTTCTACCTGTGAAGAAAGTCAGCACCTCACATACGGTTCAGGACGAACATTAAATGCGAATGAGACAATGGTGTGGATGCAATTCCTGAGCAGAAGGAAAAACATGCCGCTCCTTTGAGAGTTTTTGTTGATGACCCGATGAACAAACTGGCTACGCTAATATATATAGACGATCGTGACTGACTTACTGACGCTAATTCTAACCATGTTCTAGAAGGGTTAAAAATATGAAACTTTGTACAAATGTACCTTTTGGAATGCAGAGTTCAGAAAAAATCCGACTTTGGTGGTACATACCCTATGGGTACATATTTTGGGGGGAAACGTTTTTCTTAAAAATATATTGTGACAGAGGAGGATAGCATTCAGAGAATCATGTGGACGTGTAGGGTTCAGTGGTGTAATAGTAGTACCTCTAACTGGCAATTAGAAGGTCCGGATTCAATTCCTGGCCATCCATTGGCTTTCTTTTGGCTTTCTTTGCCTTCCATGTCCCGTTACTCATTCCCCCTCCACAACATTATTTTTGCTTGAGTAAAACGGAGAGACATGGAAAGCTGAAACAAGGCATGGACGTGCCTACGGAGACGATGAGTTTAGGAAAAATGCAAAATTTTAGATACTTGCCCTGGGAGCATATTTTTGTATGACTTTGACTTTTTAAAGTATTTTCTTTTCCTAGCGTATTAAGCTAGTGTGGAAAGATGAAACTTCGTACATAACTACCTATTGGGATGCTACAGAAAACTTCAGACTTTAGAAGTAAATGTCCTGGGGGCACAAATTTCAAAGGGAGATGTTTTAAATAATTTTTTTTTGCATCAGTTAAACTGATGAACATGGAAATCTGACATTTTGCATGAATGTGACTACTGAGACAAGGAGTTAAATAAAAATGTAAAAGTTTCGATGCATCGCCTCGGGTAATTTTATCGAGCGGCGATGTTTTGAGAAAGAAATTGTCGTGGCCAATTGGACAGAAATGGAATGATGAAACTTGGCACACTTGTAAGTCACATGATATTACTGAGCTGAGGGAGTATTTAGCTTTTATGGGGCGTCCCCTCTGGGCATAGCGTTTGGATGTGTCGGCTTTTCCAATCATGTTTTTCCACCAGCGAAAAGGGCAAACGTATAATACTGAAACTTTGTGGGCATGTAGTTCACCGGGCAGACATAGAAAAGTAGCTATCGCACGCATCACTGACGCGATGTTGATTTAAGGAAAAATTAAACATTTTTAAACGTCTCCTCAGAGCACAACTTTTGGGTAGGTCACTTTTCCAAATACATTTTTTCCGCTACAAAAAGGGGAAACGTATAAGGCTGAAACTGGGTGGCAAGGAGTTCCCTGAGTCTACATTTCAAAAGAAAAAAAAACTTTTGTTAAAACCCATTAGGCAATTTTTTCAGTCCCATTTTCCTGATTTTTTTTTTGATTCAACGAAACAGAGACAGAAAATGTAAACTTCCCTCAAAAGTACCTCTTTGATGGCTGAGTAGAGAGAAAATCCTAATTTTGAAATGTGTCTGCTTAGCGTAGATTATTGGAGGGAAGTATTTCAAAATGTATTCTCCACCCGTACAAGAAGAGACACGTAAAAAGCTTTCAAGTTAGCCACACTAAAATAAAAGTAGTAATGATTTTGATAAAAAATCAAGACTTTTGACCCCATATGTCACGTATTTCAATGGGGACGTACTTTAAATACGTGTTTCACATTTCGCAAAAAATTAATGAATTAATCAATATCTAAGGTAATAGAGCGCCGAAGGCGCGACCAAAGCGAGTTTGTTTGCCCGAAGTGCAAACAAACTCGATAGTTAAATATAAGGATGTAGGTATCCTCACCTTGCCGACCAGAGTTGAACTCATTCAGACGTAGGCAAGGAGACACATTTGACGATCGTCGTTCAGAAAAAATATGAACTGCTTCGTCTCACATTCTGTAAAATAAGCAAGTAGCTCTTCGCGGAGCTAAAAGAACCGCTGAAGTTCTTGCCCCAGGAGAACAAGCGTACCTCCGTTTGGTACAACAGAACATCGCGCTTTGATCCCATCTCCTGACAGAACGCGGCGAACAGGCGAGAGCGGAGAGGCTGGTTCCTGATGTAGTTCACCTCTGAGAAAACTATCTCATTGCATTCAACTCGAGACTAAAGGATATGACTGCCAGCTGCTCTCGGGGAAGTAAGCAGTGGGTCCACACCGTGGCTGGGGCCACATTCTTGACTAAGTCGTGCAAACAACCTTTAGACTAGGCCATAGAAGGTGCTTCATCGATGCAGAATCCGACCAAGTTCCCCTCACGAAATTCTCCTCTCATGAAAACCTTGAAGCACATCGAAAAATTGTTTGGACAAACTTGTGGTCTAGGAGGGGCGGACGAAATCACAAATCTTCGAAAATGTTTCTTATTCTTACATACCGCACGTAGGACAAAAAATGAGCATTACGTCCCACAGTGCTCACATCGACATGGAAAACCAATACCTCTGTATGTTGCAGACGTTCGACGAGAGTGTCCTGATCTGAGACAATGGCTTCACTCCTCTTAACTATGTTGCTTGAGAGAGTAATGCTTTTCAGTTTCTTGGCCTCAGCATGTCTACACATGATCCTAATCCACATGTCAATAGCAGCCGGCAGAATCAATGTTTCTCCGATAATACAGTCAACTCTCGATATACCTCGAAATTGTCAAATTATTTATTCAAGTGGATTCATCTACTTTTCTACAAATTTCAACTGAACGGAGATGGTTCAGTCACCCCATGCCTAATGTCACTCTTGATTACCTGAATGTTGAACCCTGAAAATAAATATCCAATAGAATTACCCAAGAAATTACCTACTTGTGTATTTGTTTCGGGGAAATGTTTCTGGATCATATTTGTTCACTATATTTCTGGATGAAATATGGCGAAAAAAATGGCTAAAGCAAAGCTTGCAGTTTAACAGCTTTCTCATTGTGAGGATGACATTTGTAAATCATCGCAATAAAGGGACGCTTGCACATAATGAGATAACTATAATAACGAACGTTTTGCCAATATGGCGTTGAGTAATAGGGGGAAAAATCATTATTCGTCTCACCCTTCCCGATGACTGTTTCCAACTTATCCTCAGTACGTGATTCATTTCTCAAAAGTATGCTTTATGAAACTGAATGCAACTCACATTGATATGCTTCTTGATGCTTTCCCCTTCAGATTTATTCAAACCGCCTTCGACATTCTTCAACTTCACATTTTTACTATCGAATACCTTCGAACCATCTACCGTGTTCTTCGATGGCTGCAAACCTCCGTTTTCTTCTTCCATAGCACGCAGTGTTTTATCACGATTCACAGCTGTCGAATAAATCAAGGAGGAGTAGGATTGATGTTCAGATATGTGTTTCCACTTTTTAGTCTCACATTGCTTTTGGCGAGACGTCCTTAGTGTTCTAAAATACAGGGGTCAGTCAAATGAAAACGGGACATGGTATAAATCACAAATTCACTGGAACGTCCCATTTTCATTTCACTTGCTTCATATATGGGTAAACCTGATGCTCATTTTAAACTCTTAAAAATTTAAGAGAAAATCAGGATACACATTTGTTATTCTTAAAAATGTTTATGCTGCAGATTTTGTCTTATGAATAAAAAAAAAGAGCAATAATGGTTGTTGAAAACTATTAATTTCTAAGATTATATCAGCAAGTCCATGTATTCATGCGCGGCGCATTCTGCCTGCCTTTTGATGTACGTCTTTCTGTCTTGGGCTCACACTTTTTTCCCGGCTGTTAAAACCTAAGCAGCATGTTTGCATTAATTTTACTTGAAATTTTATTTAACTTTCCGTTAACATTCATGGGAATTTTTATGAGCAAATTACTATTTTTAAAGGGGATGAATATCACTTTTATTCTCCCAATCCTTTCCACACCTTGGAACTCTAGGGTACTCGGACGAGTACACAAAGTACTCATCTTCACTAGTACAAAGAGTACTGTTGCCTCCTTCCGCACACGACGCTGTACCCTAGGAGTAGAAACAGAAATAAAAAAACTCCCTTCCATAGAGTTTAGAGAAAGTATGGTCTTCGTGGAGTTGTCCCTATTCCCGCGCACTGCTGCAATCCCAAACTTATAATCAAACTTTAATGATTCCCTGAGTCATATCTTGTTATAAAAACTGTAATAATTCCATTTTGTCAACATATTTACAATGATACAAAATCGAGTGAATGCTTGACACAGTTCCAGTTGATGATTTATAACTTGAGTATGACGTGTTCAATTTAACTGAAATTTCAATCAATCGAACTCCTACCTTCCTGGCTTTCAAGTAGAAACGTACAGTGAGATACATATTTTGTACGTAAGGAGGTACAAACGTATGTCGTAAAATGCGTTCGTTGATAAGGTGCAGAAGGTACTTAGGAAGGCATAAGATACACGTGTGTACCTTTCTTATCTCTTCATTTCGGGCTTTGGGGCGTTTAAAAACCTGCTTATGAACTCAATTATCAACTTTGAACAGAGCTTTAATGCATCATATCTATGACAGGCAGCAAACTGTCACTGATAAAACGCAGACAGCGTCTCCAGTTCGCTTAGGACGTGCCGGCCGTCTTATGAACAGTGTCTTCTCCAGTTATCATGGGACAGTAGGTAACAAGACCACTCTGTTTTACTGGGATGGCTGATTTAAAGTTGGCCGCCCGGACTTTGTTTTGTTATTTGGGTAACCTAGTTGCTTACTGTCAAGTACCTAACGTCAACATTGCCCCCCACCTTTTGCCTGTCCATGAAAGCATCTAGTTTCTTCTTAAAGATAGTCACAGAATGGGCAGCCACTACTTCGTCATCTAACGCATTCCACGCGTTCCCCATCCACCTTTTTTTCTTTTTTTGATCGCATCTAGTTTCTTCTTAAAGATAATCACAGAAGGGGCAGCTACTACTTCGTCATCTAACGCATTCCACGCGTTCACCACTCTGCAAGTAAAGAATTCCTGCCTCGACCTGAGCCGCACCTGCAGTTTGCGCAACTTCAGTTGGTTACCTCTCGTTCTCTTGCTGCCTGCCTTCCTTCTGCCTTCCTGCTGCCTTGGTTCACACTTCTCTGTTCCCGTACAAAAACGTCAGCATTTAAAATTTTCCAGAATCATTGATTGTCATTGAAACATGATGACTATTCCTATATCAAACACTGCTTTGCAAGCAGTATGATTGGATGAAAACAGGGAAAGGAAGAAAACTCTTCCTCTAATGTCCGGTGCGTCCCGACTCGACTTCGAAAATTTGGGGGAACATGAACGCCATCTTATGCGATTTTGAACATAGAATTTAGAACCCGGACATGGGCGACTGCAAAGTACACATGTGTACGCCTGGACCACACATCAGGACCCGAGGGACACAATATGTACCTCTCCCATTTGTACTTCTCCTTGTACGTTTCTACTTTGCTGTGAATGGCTCTCATCCCGTGTCAACTGGCCTCCAATTGGCTGAGCTGCAGATGTTCAAACCCAACCAGGTCATTGGCATAGTTTTGTCCCTCACACTCTGACATAGAGAAATTGGAATTTAATAATACTCTGTGCATTTGCCTTCGGCCTTTAACACTACCAGTATCCTTCTAGACATACTCTCGATCAAGGTCAAGCATCTTTGGACGGGAATACGGTCCCAATCGGTTGTGACCCGCAACCACAACTCCACGTCAGATCGACCAGAGATTTTGATCGACCATCATCGATTTGGCTGAGATTTGGTGAGAGGTAGCGTTTGACCCAAAAACGGGAAATGAAAAAAAATTCATTACCAATGGTGTATCCGTGGCGAGGTCACAAAATGTTGACTTTTTGTAGCTTGTCTGGCTGACCTCTATCAGAAGATCTTTAATAACTCCTTAGCTATTTGTCATAGAATGTTCATTTAGGACTCATTTTAAAGGGGTCTCTTTTAGCTCTATCTTGTAAACATATTTAAAGCTCATATTCATGTATACTCATTTTGTAATTTTTTTTAAATCAGAGGCGTTTGACATTTGACCCTTTATATAAAAAAATATGTAATGTCATCAAATTCATAAGATAACACGAAATAATATGGTAATGAAGTTCATAAATTTCCAGGAGGATGTTTCGTCCCAGTTCCGAGATATGCGTAAAACTGTCCTTTACATTTTCGTTTTTGGATCCGTTATTTTCAGAAAGCGCAAAAAGTTATTTGTTGCTCCAACATTATCAATGTGACTGACTTGTGGTATGGGAATACATTGAATTAGCAGCTCTACACCGTTTCTTAAATTTTGAATCTCATGTTTAAAAATACAGCACAGCAAGAAATATGACATTTAGGAATGGAGGTAAAAGAATATAGGCTTTTATCACACTCCATTTCTGACACCAAACTGGCTTAGACAGCAGACATAGGCGGCGATTCATGGGGACTTAGGGAGCTCAAGCCCCTCCACATTTTGTCTCTGAGCCCCCCCCCCCCACCCCCCCCAAAAAAAAGAATTCTAAAAAAATCGCGGCTATGGCAACAGAGTAGATTCGAATTTGAAGGTGGTTCGTATCAATAGGCACTTATGAATGAAGTTTCCGGGCAGCTGGAATGGGCTGGACGGTCAGGAATCGCGGCCGAAGTGTCCTCCTTTACATACATGAACTGGATATTTTTCATGCAGGCTTTTGCTAAGTAGAAAAGGACCATTGCACTTAGGGTGTGTCCGTCGTTGGGCCGCTGGATACTGGCTCTTCTGGCCAGACGTTTCACAGTCCCAACAAGAGCATCACATGGACCTTTTCCTCGACTCGTCACAAAGATGTGTCACAGTGCGGCAATACCAATGAAACTTGTGAAGGCACAGGTTTGAGAAGTTCTTTATAATTTGTATTGAGCAGCTGCACCATCAGAGAAGTAGAATACTCTTGATAGCCCGTGGACTTTATCATTCAGGATTGGGATGAAGAGATTCCGATAGTGGTAGATCGAGGTCAGCCGGACCAGCTAAAAACGGTCAACATTGTGTGACTTCGCCACGGATACACCATTGGTAAGAATTTTTTTTATATTTATTTCCCGTTTTTGGGTCAAACGCTACCTCCTCACCAAATTTCAGCCAAATCGATGATGGTCGACCATGAAATCATAAGAAAATTGGTCGATCTGACATGGAATCACACGGATAGCTCATTTTCGTACACGACTAGCCTTCGCTTCTTGCGTTACTTGAAGTGTTCTATTGGGTTAAGGTCTGGTGACAGCTGCGCATTGTAGTACTTCGATTCTGTGGTCCTGGAAGGATTGGTGAGCCACCCGTGAGTTGTGTTTCAGATCATTGTAAGTCTGAAACACCACCTGTCTCATTTTGAGCTGGTCAATCTCAATTGTCGCTAGCAATTCCTCCTCGAGGATGCTTGTTTGCACCTTGGCATCTATTCTTCTTTGTATTTTCCATCCATATCCGACTCCTTTGACAGTCATGCAGCTGATGGATAGCTGAGGAAAATTTATTATTATTATTATACTTTATATAGACGATCGTGAGTAGCTGACCCACTGCCATACTGACTGTTTGATGCCTGAGTACAGGAAACACTTTGCTTTTTAAATGTCTTCTCAGCGTAGATTATTGGAGGGAAGGATTTCAAAATGTATTCCCCATTCTTGCAAAATGGGACACAAGAAAAGATTTCCATTTAGTCACACATAAAGTCATAGAATTAATGGTTTTGATAAAAATCAAGACTTTCGACCCCATATGTAACATATTTCAAGGGGGACGTACTTTGAATACGTGTTTGCCATTTCGCAAAGAATAAATGCATTAATCACTATGCAAGGTAATGGAGCGGCGAAGACGCGACCATAGCGAGTTTGTTTGCCCTTCGGGCAAACAAACTCCCTAGTATTATATAATCAAGACTTAGTGGGCCAACGCCACCACAAAATTTTAATTTCTCCAGTAAAACGACCCGGAAAAAATTGCCGTAGGCATTACAATTCTATAGGCCTATCACCGACCCTTGAGTGAACGTTCATGATTAAGCCACTCCTAATATATTTTCTCCAGTGCAATACCTATAATAGCCGGAGGCATTGTAATTCGATGCCCAATGACTTACCTCAGGGACGAACACTAAGGTGTATGCCACCTATACATGTGCTATTTCTCTATTTATGCTGGAGAAAATTAGTACGACGTTCATAATATTACATTTGTAATATTATGAAGGGCTCGCTGACAAACGCTCAAGACTACGCCACTCATACGCACACATTCCTTTGCTGCGAAATATGAAAAAACACTACCTTACGACACTACCAAGTAGCAGTCTAATACGCAACTCTGAGATACCCTGTATTTGTATTTTTGCTTCGATATTCGGATCAGGTGAACTGCTTCAACATAGTAAACTCTCATTTTAAAAGGTTTTTTTTCTTCGAAATGTGTCATTTTCTTGGTGGGCTAATAACTCACTGGCATTCCATTTCACTTGGTTTTGAATATCTTCCTCGTCATCATGGTTTCCTTGGTAAATGAGAATGATTCCTCCGAAGAAGTCCAATTTGAGCTTCACGCCTTGCTGTTGCAATGCCTGACTCAGTTCTGTAAAAGTTGGAGATTGATCCTCTGATGAAGAGTTCCTCCATTCGCTAAGAAGAAGGTACGTTGTCCAAATCGGAGTTTTATGTAATGCCATAATGTTCTGAATCGCATCATGACTGAGTCCCAATGCTCTCCCGAGGTCATTCCATTCATTATTCTTCGCATGCAGTTTCTCCGCTATCTCCCAAACGTCGTCATCAGAAGGTTTTCTACCAGGGCATGATAAACATTAGTGATGGTGAACAAACATGGAATATCGTTATGCTTGTAATATTTCTTGTATTTTTGTGTGCACAAGTGTCAGGGGATTTCAAAGTTCATCCAATTTCAAGCCATCAAAGTCAGTCACATATTGAAGAAATATATATATTAGGTAGTGTGGGGCTAATAGGTCACGAGTTTCCGTTTTTCTTATTCCACAACTAATCATAATTATAAGACGCATGGTGAGGACGTCCTTCCACCGCCTCCTAAACCCGCGCATCCAGTCAATCCCTGGAACTCCTTCCTTGAATGGATTTGGCTTGTCCAACGACTTTATGTAGGTGGATGCGATCCGTACAATGATCTCGCTGTCGAGCGTCCATCCCAGGTCAGCAGCGTACTGGATTGCCTTGACGGGACCTACCCGTGCTTTGGGAAGTGTTTTTTCTTTTGCCTGTCAACCCCTAGAATCGAGCAGGAAAGTAAACACTGACACGGAATACAGGTGACCGAATAGCCCCACCCCCTGGGGCTAATCGGTCACGCCGACCACATGTTAATTTCTTAATTCTCTAAGCTAATATATTAGTATTCCAGATTTCGTTTTGGGCTGAACAAGTAGTAGAATGACTGCCGTTTGAGGTTCCAAAGATTTTTCTGCTATTATATTGATATATTATAATTATAATTGGTTGTGGAGTAAGAAAACGGAAACTCTTGACCGATTAGCCCCACACTACCCTATTTAAATTATTCTCAACTTAAATCAATGAATCCAAACAATTTCAATACTTACGCATTCAGAAGATCGCTTGGAAGTTCAGGCTTTCCTCGATCGAAATTCTTCCCTATTTTTTTTAGAAAAAAGAAAAATCGAGAAGCAGTTCAGAGAATATAGAGGAAATTTACATGTGTTACGAGGAACACTCCATGCTCTATTCATGACTTTGACGATTCTTCCAAGATCTGGGCCTGACGCCTTATGAAAACGTGTTAGTGACAGAACCAGGTAGCAAGTACATCACCTGTTGGTATGTATTTAGCTCACCAAGACTGCCAATTTTCAAATTGCTTTAATCAAGAAATGGCGAACAACGTCACTGTGGTGTCTCTGCTCTTGGGTTGATCAGTGAAAAACCACATTTTGAACCTACCACTCTGATCTTAATTTTTTCCTGGAAAATGGTGCAGACCGTATGGGCTCCGGTCCGTAATGTGGGCTGTTTCTACTCGTGGGTCGCGAGACTACCTTCTTCCATTAGCTTCCGTAAATTTTTACTTGCTTCCTTGCTAGTAGCAGTTGGTGGACAGCCAGAATGAGCACCATATTGAAAGGACTTTGTTGAACTTGAAGTTGTTCACCCAACAATGGATGATTGTAAGGGAGGGTGCTTGGTCCCTTAGGGCACCTTGCGTAACAGAAAAATGCAATTTAATTGTAAATCCTGCCTCATGCAGTTGAAAATGACCTTGCATTCTCATCACTCCATGGTGCATGCTGGGTCAACAGTGGTTATATGGGGTTGGCAATCGTCGCTGCAAAATGAAGTTTAAGGACACGGAATTTATGCATATTGCTCAAGATTGGTAAATGCCATTTTCACGAACCACAAAATCTGAGGGGGGGGGGAGGTTTAAGCTCTCTTCCAACTGAACGATCCTGAAACTTTGGAAGTGTTCCTCATAAAAGATATTTCCTTTCACTTTCTTTAAAGGTACTCACATTGTGCAAGAAGTTTTCCGCAAATATCATTTTGTCCTGCGTTTTCCAACACTTTGAGGAAGTCTTGAAAGTTATCTGAAGTGACTCTAGCAGGTAACTTCATGAAGAGAATGATATTCCGGTCATTCTGTTTCCTTGGTACCATGATCTCATCGAAGTCTCTTTGCGTGAGAATCCCTGATTTCAAAAGGCGAACTGCTAGTCCACAATTCTCTGAATTACCCAGCATTGTTTCCCACTCAGCTTTGAAGACGTCTCGAAGGAAAACCTGTGTCTCACTGCTCGCTATCAACAGAAAAACCAAAAGAAAAAGCGTACGCAACAGTGATGAACATAATATGGGATGATTCGAAAAAAAACAACACTATGGTCTCCAAACTCCTTCATACGTATCTACTATCATATTTAAAAATCATTATTGCATTTCCCTTTCATATTTGCAAGTATATAGTCAAGTCATGGAGACAAACCGTGCATTGCTGCTGTTATGCTAGTCACCAACTTACCTCCGTACATTCTCGCAGATCTTCCATTCTCTTTCTCTTGTAGTGGTGTGTTAGCCATCGTCTCCTTTCATATAATTTTTTCTCCTGAAAAAATACACTGAAATCTTGGATTGAAAATGAAGAAATACCTTATTTTCTCACTCACTTTTGTATCTTTTAAGTTCAGCGGAATATTTTCATTTAATCAATTTTCTGAACTCCCTAAAGTCATCTATAAACGTTTCTGAGCTGTTTATTTCATGTTCATGGCATTCACAATCAAGATGGGCCCAATCAGACATTCTTCGCAAAATTCTTCACATCTAGGCTCAAATAAAGTACTGAACAAATATCATGCCCCATTATTCTGGAGACTTCTGGGAGGTCTCAAAATCTGAGAGGTTCTTTGAAAGCAACGACCTTTATATTTTGCGGGAAATCTGGTCATTGTTCCCACCAGTAGAGCTCGAATTTAGACTCCATGGTCTTGGACATGGGGCGAATTGCTTGAATCGCTGAAATAATGGAAGGCAAATGATGTCATATTACTGGTTTTATTTTGATTCCAGAGGATATAAATTGAGCATAATAAAGAAGGTTCTTCAAAGATTTACAAAAACATGCATTATTTTCCACTTGGAACTGTTCAAAACATAATAACCCAAAGTTAATTATTTGAAGTCTAAAAAAAAGAGATTCATTCATAGTAATCTCGAATAATATGACATTTTTTTAAATATATACGTACAGGAAGTGTTGAGAAAAGGTACAAAGGCAGGAATGCGGGAGAAGATGAGTATAACAGCGAATGCATGGTTTAAAAATTTTCCTTTTTTGGTAACATATCATTAGTCACATTCACACTCGCTTTCAGCTTTCCATGACTCTCCCTTTAACTAAAAAAAATCATGTAAAGACGTTAGAATTAGTGTCAGTCTCTCACTCACGACCTTCGATATATATATTATATGGAATTATGATTTTCTAATTTCACGGTTTGATTCTGAAATAAATTAATTGCTCTGGATTAGTATAAGGATGTGAATAGGTAGTTTATTGAAGACATGTAGAGCAATTCTATTAATAACTGAAGTCATCCATTCACGAAGATGAATGTGGAAACATAGGGAAGTTGTTCGTATTCTGTAAATAACACCAGCACATGACGATTCAATCGCAGAGTTTTGACATGACCTAAATGATGAAGGCTTTGTGTACGTTAATACTTCTTGAAATGTCAATGATCCAGTGTTGTTTCCAGCCTGAAAAGGGCACATTCTCTCAACCTTTCCAATACTCCATACTCTGCGTACTGACCTATAAGAACTGAAAAGTAATTACAGTGTTCCAGTCATATAGTTTCTCAATATTATTATTCATGTTATTATATTAGTCATACAATTCATGCTGCTGTATTTATCTCTAAATAGCTCCATGAAGGAATATATTTACCTAAGACTCATCGAGGATTGTTGAATGAATGTTGCTGCTATGTGGATACGATAGTGTGAGTTAAACCAACTCTTTTTTATATTTAACAAGGAATGTTTAAGATGTGTAGAGGAAAATGACATTCACATTGAATCAATGGGGTATATGTTCAATATTCCAAATGTGGATAGGAAACATTGTTTTAATGATGTTTCCACATGGAAGTGTTACCTGGCATTTCACTTATTTACGTGCTAAAAAGGCAAAATGGGAATCAAAATTTTTTTTATGTTTTTTTGAATCCAAGTGTTTTGATGAGAACGACACCTTACTGAATTCCATCACTTCTTTGAGAAAGACATTTTGAAAAGCTCCTTCCCTGTTGATTTTATTTTTCACATATCCAGAGTGCTTGCCTCGAATATATCCAGATGCATACATATCAACTCGATAACCTTGTCAATCTCGATCATTTTTGTTAGACGACGCAAGTCATTCCATGAATTTCCAGGCTGAGATGGCTGGTATTCCAATGAAGAGGTGGTCAACTCTTTCTCAAAAAGTGAGAACATCGTCAGGAATGGGCGCGCGCTCATGGGCTTGACCGCCATAGGCACTTCGATTCCCAATCCTTCCTCCAAGTCCTCCCACTTCGNGGGGGGAGAGAGGTTTAAGCTCTCTTCCAACTGAACGATCCTGAAACTTTGGAAGTGTTCCTCATAAAAGATATTTCCTTTCACTTTCTTTAAAGGTACTCACATTGTGCAAGAAGTTTTCCGCAAATATCATTTTGTCCTGCGTTTTCCAACACTTTGAGGAAGTCTTGAAAGTTATCTGAAGTGACTCTAGCAGGTAACTTCATGAAGAGAATGATATTCCGGTCATTCTGTTTCCTTGGTACCATGATCTCATCGAAGTCTCTTTGCGTGAGAATCCCTGATTTCAAAAGGCGAACTGCTAGTCCACAATTCTCCGAATTACCCAGCATTGTTTCCCACTCAGCTTTGAAGACGTCTCGAAGGAAAACCTGTGTCTCACTGCTCGCTATCAACAGAAAAACCAAAAGAAAAAGCGTACGCAACAGTGATGAACATAATATGGGGTGATTCGAAAAAACAACACTATGGTCTCCAAACTCCTTCATACGTATCTACTATCATATTTAAAACTTTCATATTTGCAAGTATATAGTCAAGTCATGGAGACAAACCGTGCATTGCTGCTGTTATGCTAGTCACCAACTTACCTGCGTACATTCTCGCAGATCTTCCATTCTCTTTCTCTTGTAGTGGTGTGTTAGCCATCGTCTCCTTTCATATAATTTTTTCTCCTGAAAAAATGCACTGAAATCTTGGATTGAATATGAAGAAATACCTTATTTTCTCACTCACTTTTGTATCTTTTAAGTTCAGCGGAATATTTTCATTTCATCAATTTTCTGAACTCCCTAAAGTCATCCATAAACGTTTCTGAGCTGTTTATTTCATGTTCATGGCATTCACAATCAAGATGGGCCCAGACATTCTTCGCAAAATTCTTCACATCTGGGCTCAAATAAAGTACTGAAAAAATATAATGCCCCATTATTCTGGAGACTTCTGGGAGGTCTCAAAATCTGAGAGGTTCTTGGAAAGTAAGATGCGACCTTTATATTTTGCGGGAAATCTGGTGATTGTTCCCACCAGTAGAGCTTGAATTTAGACTCCATGGTCTTGGACATGGGGCGAATTGCTTGAATCGCTGAAATAATGGAAGGCAAATGATGTCATATTACTGGTTTTATTTTGATTCCAGAGGATATAAATTGAGCATAATAAAGATGAATTTAGACTCCATGGTCTTGGACATGGGGCGAATTGCTTGAATCGCTGAAATAATGGAAGGCAAATGATGTCATATTACTGGTTTTATTTTGATTCCAGAGGATATAAATTGAGCATAATAAAGAAGGTTCTTCAATGATTTACAAAAACATGCATTATTTTCCACTTGGAACTGTTCAAAACATAATAACCCAAAGTTAATTATTTGGTGAAGTCTAAAAAAAAGAGATTCATTCATAGTAATCTCGAATAATATGACATTTTCAAAATATATACGTACAGGAAGTGTTGAGAAAAGGTACAAAGGCAGGAATGCGGGAGAAGATGAGTATAACAGCGAATGCATGGTTTTAAAATTTTCCTTTTTTGGTAACATATCATTAGTCACATTCACACTCTCTTTCAGCTTTCCATGACTCTCCCTTTAACTAAAAAAAATCATGTAAAGACGTTAGAATTAGTGTCAGTCTCTCACTCACGACCTTCTATATATATTATATGGAATTATGATTTTCTAATTTCACGGTTTGATTCTGAAATAAATTAATTGCTCTGGATTAGTATAAGGATGTGAATAGGTAGTTTATTGAAGACATGTAGAGCAATTCTATTAATAACTGAAGTCATCCATTCACGAATATGAATGTGGAAACATAGGGAAGTTGTTCGTATTCTGTAAATAACACCAGCACATGACGATTCAATCGCAGAGTTTTGACATAACCTAAATGATAAAGGTTTTGTGTACGTTAATACTTCTTGAAATGTCAATGATCCAGTGCTGTTTCCAGACTGAAAAGGGCACATTCTCTCAACCTTTCCAATAGAGGTATGAGACGCATGACTGGATATTCTTGACTTTTCATTAATGTCACAAGGTCAGTATATCAAAGAGTTATAATAATAAGTACAATAATATAATCAGTATGTTAAGTACGACGACATAAATAGAGAAAATAGCTCCATGAAGGAATATATTTACCTAAGACTCATCGAGGATTGTTGAATGAATGTTGCTGCTATGTGGATACGATAGTGTGAGTTAAACCAACTCTTTTTTATATTTAACAAGGAATGTTTAAGATGTGTAGAGGAAAATGACATTCACATTGAATCAATGGGGTATATGTTCAATATTCCAAATGTGGATAGGAAACATTGTTTTAATGATGTTTCCACATGGAAGTGTTACCTGGCATTTCACTTATTTACGTGCTAAAAAGGCAAAATGGGAATCAAAATTTTTTTTATGTTTTTTTGAATCCAAGTGTTTTGATGAGAACGACACCTTACTGAATTCCATCACTTCTTTGAGAAAGACATTTTGAAAAGCTCCTTCCCTGTTGATTTTATTTTTCACATATCCAGAGTGCTTGCCTCGAATATATCCAGATGCATACATATCAACTCGATAACCTTGTCAATCTCGATCATTTTTGTTAGACGACGCAAGTCATTCCATGAATTTCTCGCCATCCCCCAAATGTAGCTTTGAGAAAATTCTCTAGAAGTTAAAAACACCCAAGAGAATAGGCTTCTGATCAATGTCACTATTTCAGGAGGTAAACAATCTATTAACTATTAGCAATATTCTAAATTCCAGTTCTCAACACTAGGAGTACTGTAATGAAATAATTAAGTTTTCAAATTATTGCTGAATTGTTGCACTTGAAAACTTACTGATTGAATTGGGTACGTGCGAGATCAACCATCCGTGTTTTCATTATTCCCCCTGTCAATGAAATGCAATATCTTTTTTTAATGTTCCAATACTATTTACCAACCAAACTACTCATGTACTTTTGTAAAATTTTTTTGTTCAAATTTTGGAAATATATTATTAACTTTGCGTGGGTTTCTGGCCTCACCACACTCCACCAACTTTCTTGGAAATTCCGCAGGTAGTCTTCATATCCGCAATGAATGGCCTACGTGAGTAATGTTACGTTAACAGTTACTCGCGAAGCTTTTAATCGAAAGAAGCCTGCTAACACGGTCGATCCGGAGTTTTGTCTGCAACAGTGAGAGTCAGGGTGGACAGCGAATCGCGTTGGCACACAGTAACATGGAGCGGACTCTTTGGTGGACACCGCAGGTATGTCATGCTGTTGTTTCCAAGAAAGCAACATAGGACGAATATGCTAAGTAGGTGGAGCCCTTCCAGAAAGTGTTTCAGTGAGATGCATGAGTCTGGTGTTAAAGTTTTTTAGGGTGAAAAGTAAGAAAATGTACAATGAAATATTGGTAGAAAATGACATTTTGATACCACACTTTTGGTATGATGTTCTGGGAAACCATTTGAAGATTCTGGGAAGTCGGAACGAACTGCAAGTCATCAAAAACCGAAACTGAAAGATGTTTGCTGCCAAACTGGAATAGCTACTCATAAGAGATGGAATGATATTTTTAAGACCTCAACCCACACATGGCGGACTCAGATGTACCCTACTCAGAACCTATCTACGCGGAGACTAATCTCACCATGGAGGAAGGTCTAAAAGCTATCGCCAGCTTGTATGATATATTGGAAAGTTTCCATTTTGTGGATGAAGGATAGTCAGAAGAAATGCAAAAAAACGCTCTAATTAGTGCTCCTGGTTGCATAGGGTGTGTAGGCAGGTATGGAATATGGAAAAGTTTCCCTTGAAATAGCAGGACGTTGAGATAGTTCCTCCTTTTTAATAGGAACTCCAATACCAACGACTGCAGAATCTCCTCAGCGCACTTAGTAAGGTCTATGTCAGAGTACTCTCGGGTTAAGCTGAAGAAGTCATTAGCGAAGCCACGAAATATGAACAGTACGTATATCTAGAAAGGCACTGCACCGCAGACTGACTCTTAACTCTACACCAGATACTTCGGAGGTATCGCCAAATATGTTTACAGGTGTTTCGTGAATCACAAAAAAGTTTCACCACGTACTCTCAGTTCATTATCATTTTCTACTTTCATAACGAGGTATGCCTCTTCGGAAAGCTTATTTCTGTTGCTCATCAGGCAAATCCCTTGGGAAATAAATTTATTTTTGTTTCTGAATGAGATACAGGGAGGCTCAAATAAACCGAACTATTGACTTAAAAATTCTGTAAATCAGGCTGAAGTGCCTTGATTCGAGTAAACATTTGGGCACACATGAAGCAAGTCTTTTGGGCAAATATTAATGCATATTTTATTATATCACTTTATATTTATTTCATCATCATGAAAAACGCTGCCTCCATATAGAAAAAAAGCTGCAACAGTCCCCAGCTGCCGTTAGAGTTGCAGTAGCGACAGTTATTGAAAATAAGAACACTTTTTATTTCCTGTATCTATGTTTTAATGTGTTTCTTCCTTTTCTCACCGTTCATCTTACTAAAACAAAACAACCTTCCCTACCTACATGAAGGCATAAGGTCTTGATAACCGCCAAGTCTTCATGCTAGTAACGAGGCATTGGTTTGTTTTAGTAAGAAAAAATATGGGAAAATGAAGAAACACATCTTTAAACATTACCACAGAAAATAAAGTGCTCTCCTTAACAAGAGCAGTCGCTGCTCCTACTCAAACGGCAACTGGTGACAGTTCCAGCTGTTTTCTGAATGGAGGCGGCCATTTTCATCCTGATGAAATAAAAAGCTTTGATATTCTGATGATTCTGACATATTAGCCGACCCATGGAAGTCTTCCACGAACTCTTCGGCGAGAAATCCCGTGTTCATTCGGCGGCCCTAAAATTCAGTGGCCGTCTCAGCGATATATGAGGTCTGGCAAGAAGTTCCAGGACTGATTTTTATGTGAGTCTGTCAATATCATACAAATTATTTTCATTCCATGGACTAATATATTTGACTGTTGGGCAGTGTTGAATCAGTCCTCATCTAACTAGCATCTTGAATGATAATTTGACTGGCAATTTAAAAACTCAGTGCGTAAGGCGTCTGTCATATTCCATGAGTGAATTAATGCTTCATCACATTTTGTCTCTATCCGATAATACAGCTTCAGCTATCCATCAAATGTTGCAAAAAGTATCTTGACAAGTTGTCTCGTCATGCTCCAAGAATCTCGAATAGTTTTCAAGGCTTTCAGCCAGTAGAAATGACATTGAAAATAATGACCGATTCAGCCATCAGAATGGTTGGTGATGGTTGGGGTTGAGGTGGATCTGAGTGTCTTCAATACTTACTAAAGCCCTTAAAGGGTATTCAAAACTATTGGAGCATAACAAGGAACTTACCAGGAACCTTCAACAACGTTTCATGTGTAGTGTCGTGTCCAAGGAGCAGACGACACGACCAGCATCCAGTGTTGTTGAATGGGACTAGACCAGCGAGTCAGAGACTTTGAGAACAAGTTTTGTGCTGTGCCCGTTTTTACTGGAGGAGTGGCTTTTGTCAAGCATGGACGTGGTTGAACACTAACTGCTCCAAGTGAGGGTTCTCCTCTACCCCACATGACACTTATTAGTTTTTTCAAATATCAAGCCAATAGATTAATTATGGAGCTCCCAACTGGTCTTTCATTTTAACCCACGGTGCTAGGCAAAGTGCCATCCTGGCCCTAGCACTACACATGGATTACTGCAGCTGTACTGATCAGTTTGAGACAAAATGTGATGAAACATAGCTTCACTGTGGGAATATGACGAACGCCTTTCACATTCAGCAGCTACATTGCCCGTCAAACTCTCATTCAGGATGCTAGTCAGGTGAGAGCTGACACAACATTGCCCAACAGTCTAACCAATCAGTCCAAGGAATGAAAGTAATTTTTGTAATATTGACAAACTCACAAAAAAAATCAGTCCTGGAACTTTATTGCTAGACCTCGTATGCAGCAGCTCCTCTTTCCCATACTTTACGTGTCCCCACCTACTACCCTTGGAGTCCCCATTCATCTCATTGAAGAGAGGATGACTTCCTCGCCGGGGTGAGGTCTCCTCACCTACATTTATTGGCCATTTTCCCTATAGATCCCAACCTTGTCCGCTTCGTCCGTAAAAACCATATCGATCACTTTGCATGCAAGCCTATGAGTGAAATATACGGATATGGATACGAGATGGTAAAGACCCAACCGGCAGCATTCTTGCGATCCAAGAATAAGCCATCCTGTTCTGTCCCACCCTGAAGAGATCCCGCTGGTTTCAAACTCTCTCTCGGACGGAGGAAAACCGGACACCAAGTTTTGTGCGGGGGGTTTCCCGCGTAAAAGCTCATATCGAGGTGTGAACATGACTTAGTTATGAGGGGGTATGTGCGCAAGTCGCACAATGACTCTCACTCCCTTTTCCAAGGACGGATCCGACAGTCGCGAAAGCCGGAAAGAAAATTGCGAGTTCGAGAGCGGGAGCCAGACACGCCAACCCGCAAAAGTCTTCCATGGACTGTTTCTCGGGAATTTCTGAACTCTGTCAGCAGCCCTAAAACTCAGCGATCCTCTCTACGATATGAGAAGCAGCCCCTCTATTTCGTTATAAAGAATGACCTGTGGAATACTTCCAACAAGCCGCTTCAGGGAAGAAGGAACCGGTCATGCGCACTTGGCTGACATACACACGCCGTAGCATTATATATATACTAGCGAGTTTGTTTGCCCTTTGGGCAAGCAAACTCGCTATAGTCGCGCCTGCGGCACTCCATTACTTTCGATAGTGATTAATTCATTTATTTTTTGCGAAATGGGAAACAAGTATTCAAAGTACGTCCCCATTGACATGCGTGACATATGGGGTCGAAAGTCATGATTTTTTAGATGAAAATCATTACTTCTATGATTCTGTGTGCCAACTTGAAATCCTTTCTTTTGTCCCCTTTTGTAAGGGAGGAAAATATATTTTGAAATAGTTCCCCCAAAAAATATACGCTAAGGAGACATATTTCAAATTTGGATTTTTCCTCTACTCAGCCATTAAACAGGTACTTCAGAGGGAAGTTTAAATTTTATGTCTCTGTTTCGTTGGATCAAAAAACAATTCAAGAAAATGGGGCAGAAAAGAGATGGGTTTCAAATAAATTTTTTTAAATTTAGAAATGTAGACTCAGGGAACTCCATGCCACGTAGTTTCAGCCTTACACGTTTCCCCTTTTTAAAAATGCATTTGGAAAAGCGACCCACCCAAAAGCTGGGCTTTGATTTGACGCACAAAAAAGTTGCATTTTTCCTTATATCAGCATCACGTCCGTTATACGTGCGTCAGCAATTTTTCTATTTCTGGCCGATTCGGTAGGACATGAAAAATTTTTTGAAAACGTATCGTCCCCAATAAATATGAACCCCAAAAATATTTTGGAAATTTGACGTTTGACATTTGAGCTCCATGCGTCAACGGTCACATTTTTGCCAAGTTTCAGCTTTCCATGTGTATCGGTTTGATTGAAGCAAAGAGAACCATTTGAAAACATGTTCCCCAAAAGTTGTACCCCTTTGATATGAATCACCAAATTAGAACTTTTTCTAAACTTAGCATGTGAATATCTACTAATGTCAGTCAGCTACTCAAGATCATGAATCTAATATATATAGGCGATCGTGACTGACTGACTGACGCTAATTCTAACCATGTTCAAGAGAAGTTAGATATCTGAAACTTGGTACACATGTAGCGACTGGGATACAGAGTTCAGACAAAATCCGACTTTGGAGGTCCATGCCTTGGGGGGTACACATTTAGGGGGGGAAACGTTTTTCTTAAATACATTTTGTGACAGATGAGGATGGCATTCAGAAAGTCATCTGGATGTCCTGGGTTTGGTGGTGTAGTGGTAGCACACCTGACCAAAAATCAAGATACCCGCGTTCAATTCCCGGTCGATCCTTGGCGTTCTAACGGCCTATTATGTCATCCGAGTCGCGTTACTCGTGCCCCCTCCATAACAAAATTTTTTCTCAAGTAAAATGGAAAGACATGGAGAACTGAAACGTGGCATGGACATGCCAACCTAGACGATGAGTTCAAGAAAAATGTAAAATATAAGATCCATGTGATGGTGGGGCATATTTTAAGGGGTCAACGAGTTAACGCATTTTTTTCCCAGAAGTATTCAGCTGATGTGGTAAGACGAAATTTGATACATAACAACCTATTGGAATGCTGCGTGTAGGAAAATTCTGATTTCGGAAGTTATCGCCCTGGGGGCACAAATTTCAAATTGAGATGTTTTCAAATAATTTTTTTGCACTAGATGAACATGGAAAGCTGAAACTTTGCATATATAGGACTCCTGAGACATGAAGTTAAAGGAAAATGTTAAGTCTTGATGCATCGCTTTGGAATTTTTTCGAGGGGCGATGTTTAAAAATAAATTTTGTTGTGGACAGAAATGAAAAGATGGAACTTGGCATACGTATATGTGACATTATATTATTGAGTTGAAGGAGTATTCAGCTTTCACGGTTCATCCCCTCTGGGCATAGCTTTGGGGTGGGTCGGCTATTCCAAACATGCTTTTTCACCGGGGAAAAGAGAAAACAAATGAGGTTGGAACTTTGTGGGCATGTAGTTCTCTTAGGATTGATTTCGGTAAAAAAAAGGTACTTTTCGGTTAAAACGCCTCAGGGCACATATACAGTATTGCAAAAGGCGCATTTTCCCGAATTTTCTGATCCAGCAAAACAGATGGCGCATGAACGTTTAAACTTGGTAGAGTACCTGATGGATAGCTGAATAAAAAAAATTGCTTCATTACACTTCATATAGAAATGAAACTAGAAATAAACTAGGCACACTAGAAATAAAAGAGGTAATGATTTTGATAAAAATAAAGACTTTCGTACCCATGTGTCACGTATTCCAATAATACGTATTACTTATTATACGTGTTTTCTATTTCGCAAAAAAAATAATTAATCACCTACCAAGTTTATTGAGCCCCGAAGGCGCGACCATTGCGAGTATTGCAAGTATACAGGGTGGGGACGTCATTCGGCTATTTACTAAGTCTAGATATTTATTCAGAAGTAATATTTGTAGAATTTTGGAATTTTTTACATGGGTTTATTGGTGTTTCTGCTACATCATGGTAAATTTTCACACAAAATAGCCTTCTCTGGCCTCAATGACACGCTCCAGACGATCTACAAATGCCGTGATGCAGTCCGAAACGAAGTCTATGGACATCTTGACCTACTCCTTCTGGATGGCATATATCAGGGCTTCGATTTTGGTATGGTTGATGCGGCCAACCTTGCTCTCGAGGTAGGACCGCACATTGAAGTCCTTGGGTTTCATATCCGGACTTGAGGTTGGCTACATTTCCCTGGGTAGGAAGCCCGGAAATTCCTTTTCAGCCAGTTTTGAGTCTTGTTTGCAGTGTGAGCTGGAGCTCCGTCCTGCTGGAAGATCCAGTCATTGTTTCTGAACTTCATCTAGGCCTAGTCCTTCATGGGGTTCTGTAGGACATGCTGAAGGCACCAATCGGTCGTCACCTTGACGCCAGGTGGGATGAACACAAGGGAGGTCTTCCTGGACGTGCTGATCTCGGCCCAGACCATGATTCCGGCAGGGTGCTTTCCCTTCAGGTGGAATTTTTCATTTCCAGGGATGGCCTTGATGTTCTTGGCCACCACCCTGTTGTTCCTGAGATTCTGGACAGCTTCAACTATGAGCAGTTTCTCGTCTGTGAGCACGAACTTGCTAAGATACCCTTTTTTCAGCCTGCTCAGTAGCTTTCGGGAACAATCCAGCCTCTTCTGCTTCTGGACATCAGTCAGGAGCTGCCGCTTTTGTATGGAGTAGGACTTTGTACCCAGATCCTCATGCAAGATGTCCCACACTGTCTTGGGATCAATGACGGCCTCCTTGGCCATCTTCCTGAAGGACCTGTGTGGGTTGAAGGCAATCTTGTTCCGCTGCTCTTGATTATCTCTGGCGTGCGGATGGTCCTCTTTTTCACACCCCTGGGCCTGGGCAGACCACTGCCATACCTCGTATAACGGTTAATGGTCTTATAGACCATGTTTGGGGTGACCTTCAGGTTCTTCAATTCCTTCATGAGGTCCACTGGGCGGTTTCCGGCCTTGTACCTCTCCACAACGAGGTCGTAGATCTCCGTCATCGTGAGGCAGATTCTTGTCAATCCAACTTGATTTGTTTACAAATGGCTAACCCTACCATTAAAAATTATTATAGGAAAATTTTTTTAAAATGTCACGCAACCTTACGCATCCATGTTAAAAATAGCCGATTGACGTCCCCACCCAGTATAATAGAAGTATGATCTTTTATTTACTCAGCTATCCATCAGGTACTTCTTTGCCAAGTTTAAACTTTCATGCGCCCTCTACTTGATCAGAAAATTCGTGAAAATTCGCTTTTTGCAATGTATGTGCCTTGAGCCGTTTTAAGCAAAAAGAACCTTTTTTTTTACCGAAATTCACCCTCTGTGAACTACAGGCCCACAAAGTTTCAATATAATACTTTTGCTCTTTTCGCTGGTGAAAAAACACGTTTGGAAAAGCCGACCCATCCAAAAGCTGTGCCCGGAGTGGATGGACTATGAAAGCTGAATACTCCCTCAGTTCACTAATATGTCACCTATCTGTGTGTCAAGTTTCACCTTTCCATTTCTGTCCAATTCGCCACGACTATTTTTTTCATCAAAACATCGACCCCCGAAAAAATTCCCCAAAGGGATGTATCGAGACTTAACATTTTCCTTTACCTCCTTGTCTCAGCAGTCACATTTATGATATATTAGATGGATAGATAGATTGATATTTAATTTAATATCTGCTGAAAATAGTTATTTCTTATGTGCCGAGAAGCATGCTCAAATAGAAGCACTTCAGCCTGATTTACAGCATATTAAAATCACTGGCTTGGTTTTTTTTCTTTTAGCCACCCTATTCTGTAAAGAATGAAAGCATACAGATTTCCACCTGTCAGAGCGATGTCCGCCCGAGAAAAAATTATCTGGCTCGAAATACTTGTGTGTGAACGGCCAGTTGGACTTCAACTGAGGAGGACGACTACTTGGTTTCAAATCCAGCCCTTAGGCACGTGGTTGTTCAACCAGATGGAAAAGGGATCGATGTTTTTGAAGCTGTGCTGCAATATACCGTGCAATGATAGACTCAAATTTTTAATATGTTCTTCTGTCCTCATCGTTGACAAAAGCTGATGCCTTATCCTAATTCTTTGTTATGTTGATTTCGCCTCTTCTGACGTGGCTTGAATTTTTTTGGACCTAATGTTTGTGTGTTGATAAAATTCAGAAAATTCGGTATCTTCATTAATGGATTATTTGATTTTTTCTTCTGCTTCCTTTTGGCGAAAAGAAAGCTTCATCATACATTTTCTCTGATCTACAAATATGCAAAAATAATTGACTTCTTATTTCAACTGTCTTTGATGCGAAACAAACTACAGCTGAGCAAATATGCATTATGGACGGATAATTAGCACCAAAAATTCATGTTGAAACCGCGATGCTATCTTCAGCTGGTCATCCAGGATAGACGATAGCAGCGAGGTCCTTCGGAAGTTATGTTACATCATCAATCTCAGAAAAAACGCGAGGAAAAAAAATTATTTCGTTCATGTTTTTTGCTTCAATGTTTCATCGAATTTTTTCTATTCCATGTTTCGTAGTTTCGAGGTTTTGGTGACGATGTTCTGACGTGATACCCTTTTCTTGCACCGTGACATATACAGTGCAAAAGTTTCTGACCCATAGTGCAAGAATTGATGCTAAAACCAATGCAGGTTCCAGTGAAGACATCCTACCTATATACATGAGCTACGGGTCTGCAAAGACCAAGAAGATCTGCCTCTGTGCCTGGGCTGATCTGGGATGATGCAGACGGAGCCTCTTGCCACACAGGAGGCTTCACGTTCTTAGCCATTGCAAAGACTGACGTTTGAGACAATACGAGGTTGAACAAAGAACTGTGCGGAGCATCTCGAAAAAATGTGGTATAGGTTCCCGTAAAGTGTTTTGCATGGGTCCCATCCCTCTTATCCTGCGTCCATCATTACTACAGTAGGCTTCTAAAAGAAGAAAGGAACCAGAACGACAAATGTCAATCGTCGATTCCTCTAAAGCTTCAGGACGTAAATCCGACGTTCCCAAGGCTGGGTAAAATCATTTGTATTGATAAAGGAGTTAGTTCCTGAGGTGCTCCTGACTATGTGGAGTGCGAATTAGGCAATCTATGCACATTAGACTCGTCTAAATCTTCATTTCAATTGCTCAGAAAAATTCGTAACATATTGTATATTAGCAGGCACATTGAAGGTTATGGTTTTTAATAATTTATTGATTTATTATTATTATTATTATTATTATTATTTTTCCAATTTAACTACGCTTGGAAAAGAAAGTAAACATGTTCCTAAAGCGCAGGGAATGGGATTAGAGAGGAACACTTCAGAAAGTAATGTAAAACTTTGTCGTGTAAATGTACAGCAAAATTTGGTGGAAATTTTGAACATCTTATGCAGTCAGGCAAAATACTTGATGAATGTCTGAACAATGTATAGTTAACTGTGTTTCTATTTGCAGTAATAAAAAAGTTATGACTTTTTAAAATGTGCTATTTTTTGTGGTCCACCCTGTAGAGCTTGGAAAATAATAGACTTGCTCTTTTAAGATTCAACGCGGCATTACTGAAGTGCACTCACATTGTCTTTGAAGATCGTCGGCTTGAATTGCCCGGTTCGTAGAATTTAGGACTTCGAGAAGCTTTTCAAAGTTCCTAGAATTCATATTATTTACAAGGTTCCCCAGAAGATAGACGTTTCTCTCATTTGTCATTTGCTTCAAATGCCTTCTGTCCTCCAAAGAAAGAAGTCCTGACTTGAGCAATTCCATGTGCACCATTCTATCTGCCAAGCATTCCATCATGGCACTCCAATTCCTCTGTATGCTTAATAGCCCTCTCAATAGTATCGATGGCTCAGCTCTCTCCTCTACATACAAAATAAAAAATATAGCATATGTAGACGTGAAGTACCTTGTCCCTAAACTCTAAGAACCCATTTGCCCGTGTATTGCTAAAGATACGCTTTTTAAAAGGCTTAAAAAAATAACCCTCGAAAAGGTTTTAATGTCATGCTTATAAGGACACCTCTATTTGCGATGCGCTCAAATGCAAAATAACTAGCCACTCTAGAAAACCATGCTATGGTACCAACTTCAAAGACAATATCTTCGGCTCAAATGAGTTTGCCGTGTTTTCGCATCAAAATCATTTTCGCCCTTTAACTTTCTCTTCTTCCAGTCGCAGTTCCAAGTATTTAAACCTTAAGGAATATCAGATTTCTAAGTCAAAGTTGATCTCTTTGTTATGTAAACAGGCTCGTATCGTAGCGTAGTTATTACTTACTTGCAAGTTTGTTTGCCCTTCGGGCAAACAAACTGGATAAACCTGGATGGGACTGGATAAAAGTGCCCAAATGGGTTTTAACGAAAACTTTATTTCTTCTGAAATGTGGACTCAGGGAACTCCATGCCACTCAGTTTCAGCCTTCCTCTTTTTGCTGGCAGAAAAAAAATGTAATTGGAAAAGCGACACTCCCTAAAGCAGTGCTCTGAGTATATGCACAACAAAAGTTGAAATTTTCCTTAAATCAACATCACGTCCGTTATGCGGGCACAAGCTCCTATTTTCCTATTTCTGCCTGATTCACTGGGATATGAGAAATTCTGTGAAAACGTTACGTCCCCAAGAGATATGCCCCCCCCCATAACGTTTTGGAAATTTGACATTTGATATATGAGCTCAGTGCTTCCCCAGTCACGTTCTTGCCGTTACAGCTTCCTATATGTCTTCGTTTGATTGAAGCATAGAGAACTATTTGAAAATATGTTCTCTGAAAATGTATCCCCCTATGACATGTATCACCAAAGTATGATTTCTCCTGAACTCAGCGTGCGAATAGCGACTTAGCAACTCATGACCCTCTATATATAATAAAAGTATAAATTTTTCTTTACTCAGTAATCCATCAGGTTCTTTTTTTGCAAGTTTAAAATTTCTAGCGCACTCTGTTTTGCTGGATCGAGAAAATACACATTTTGCAATATACGTATGTATGTATATGTATGTGCCTTCAGGCGTTTTGACCGAAAGGTATAAGTTTCAACCATATTCGTTTCACCAGCTCAATACGCAGGGGCGAAAAAAAAATTACGTGAAAACGTCGGCCCCTAAAAAAATGCCCCACAGAACATGGGTCTTACAGTTTTCATTTTTCCTGAACTCATCGTCTTAGTAGACATGTCCATGGGAGGTTCCAGGTTTCCACGTCTCTTCGTTTTACTAAGGCAAAAATGTTGCTATAAAGGGGTACGCGACTTGGAAAGCATAAGAGGCCGAAAGAAAGCCACGGAACGGCTGGGAATTGAACCCGGGCCTCCTTATTGCTGGTCAGGTGTGCTACCACAACACCACCGAATCCGAGACGCCCAGTCACCCCTCTCGATGCCATCCTAATCCGTCAAGATATACTGTATATATTTAGGAACTTCTCCCCTTTAAAAATGTGTACCGCAGGGCATGTACCTCCAAAGTCGGATTTTTTCTGAACTCTGCATCCCAGTCGGTACATGTGTACCAAGTTTCAGATTTCTAACTTCTCTGGAACATTGTAAGAATTAGTGTCAGTCAGTCAGTCACGATCGTCTATAAGTTTAGATTCAATTTATGTTCAATGTGTTTACGCGCGTTTGCCGAATTCTCTTTTTTACGTGAGAGCCTGAGGATGTGGTATGACCCTTCAGCTACAAATTTCTACATCAGGGGAAGCATCTTTCCTAGCAACACATAACATTGAAACAACATGTATTCAAAGTTGATTTAACACCCGGATTTTGAATCCACATTGAATCGATGTTGATTGAATGTTATGTGCTACTAGGGTTACTGTCTAACAACAGTCATGGAGGCTATCCAGCTCAAGTGGTCAAACTCAAAAAAATTCTGCCGCGCTTCAAATTTCGATTTCCTAGGGACATTTTATGCACGTTGTCATCCAATACCTAAGGATATATGCACCTTTTGGCTCTCTGGCTCTAACGGTTTTCGAGATATTTAGTCGCAAACTTAGTCTCCT